GTGCCTAGCCTTGCCAAAAGGCCGAACAGAACCCCTAGAAAAGGCAAGAGTTGACGTGTGGACAACCTAGCGACACTTTGCAGATTTTTGCCTCCTCTTCTATAGTTGTAAACAACGCAGTAGACTCTCTCCCTTAGGAAAGAACTTAAGAACCAAGCCTGGTTTTCGTTACAGGTTATTTTTGGTAACTGAGAGGCCACCACAATTTGCTGACGAGGTTGTGCAGTCTCTGAAGGAAGTAACTTTTGTAGGCAAACTTACAGTCCCTCTTTAAGCTCCAGAAAAATCTTTTGTTTGTGGCAGTCACAGGAGCTGTGGTGATTCAATTAATTGGTATTTTAATAGGAAATTTTCATTCGTGAGAACCGCCAAACCTCTCGAAGTATTCAAGTAATGGGGAAGTCAATGAACATTTATTACGGAGATGAGTTCATCCTTAAATCTTTCTTTATATTTCACGATTTTAAGAAATATCTGGATTCTTTTAAAGGGGAACTGTTTATGTTTGTCATAGGGCAAGTTTAATCTGGTGTTACTCTGTTTCTCCAGATGGTATATTCTTCATTCTGTGAGCTAAAATTCAGCCATCATTCAGGTTAAGGGGAAGACGAATGTTTTGTGTTAATATTCTTTAGCCTCATTCTTCCCCCAGTGTCTTTATCCTAACTGTTCCATCTTTTGTATCTTTCTCTTTAGTTGCCTTCTATTTTCTGCCTCTGGGGGCTGTTTTTGTTGTTGGTTAGGTGTTTGTTTGGGGGTGGGAGCCTACATTGCCGGTGCATGAAAAACTGGGGAGATTGAAGTTTACCCCGGGTTATGAAAGGGTTCCCGTTGTCAGCAAGAGACAGATCAGAGTTAATGAGTCATGGTTTAAGAGTAAAGAGCAGCTTATGAGTTTGTGTGCTTCATAACTTCTAAAGAAAGGTAGACTTTGGGAAATGTACAGAAATTGTACTTTCAAGTGATTCTCAGTTTTAGCAAAGTTATGTGTCTTATATAAAAATCGAATTTAAGTTGATTCCCTTTGCAAGCCAAGACTCTTGCAGTTGTTTCATTGTGTTCTTATACATGATCTTGAAAGCATATTAGTTGTTAATAGTTCATTTTTATTTGCTTTTTAAAATTGTTTGAAGACATTAAGCTTAAATATGTAAGTAAAATGTTTATTCTGTAAAGTTCTCTTTTGTTTAATTAGGTGTTTGGTGACCAATAAATCTGCCTGGTTGAACTGGTGGAATCGAATTAGTAAGTTTGTGTAATAGTTGGCCGTTTCTAACTGGTATTAAGATTTGTTTAATGCTCTTTGTAAAGGATAATTAGTTAAGACTTACGTAGCTCAGTAAGGAATCAGAATTCAGGCCTGATAGTCAGGACATTTAATCTTACCTCTGCCTCAAGACCTGGTCTGTGATATGGGGCAAGACACTTCATTCTATTCCTTAAAGTCACCCTTCCTAAAGTGATGATACAAATCACTCACCTACCTCACAGGGTTGTTGTGAGGATAACACAACAATTACTTTCCAGTAAAGTACTTATGAATATTTGTATGCATCTACTAAAAGGCTTAGTCAAGAAGACTTAAGAACAGATTTTGAGCAACTAAGTGTGCCTTATTTAACTGTCTCGTCTTTGCCATTAGTCATATAAAATTGGATTGTAAAACTGGAAAAAGCTTCTTATTTTGTCTTTAGTACATACTGTGCACCAAATTGGTATAACAATAAAAATTAAATTTTGTGATTAATTTAGCAACATATATTTATGTCCACTGCATAAGTATCAGAAAACAAAACTTCTCCCAGTAGTTTAGGACTTTAATATAGATTGTGAATACAGGGGAACCTGTTTGCTATCTTTCTACTAGGATTTTTTGTCGTTGCTTTGCTCTGACATAGTATTTCCTTCTAGGTAATTGTCCTGGGAACGCCTGCAGAAGAAGATGGTGGTGGCAAAATTGATTTAATTGAAGCAGGGGCTTTTAAAAATCTTGATGTTGTTTTTATGGCCCATCCATCCCAAGAGAATGCTGCCTATCTACCGGATGTGGCTGAACATGAGTAAGTAATTGAGTTTAAGATAAACTTCTTAGTAGAAAACAAACTATAGAATATTTTAATGTATATACAGGAGACTAAAACTCCACATTTAAACATTTAAAAAGTAAATTGGGGAACCAGCAGTTAGCGTAATGGCTATGTTGCTGGACTCCCACATAGTTGACCGCGGTTCGTGTCCCAGACCCGGTGGCTTAAAACTCATGCCGGGCGCGTGTGCGTGC